TTGAGGATCCATTTAAGATGTTAATGGTAGATGTGAAACAACAGTGATGTGACGGAAAATAACCAACATTACATTTGTCAAGTAAAACTTCCTGCAAAGTTTCTTTAAAGGTTGTTTTTATACATTTATTAATTACAAAAATCTCTTATTTACTAATACTGAGCTCATACACTTTTATAAAAATATTTGTGGATCACAAAGGAAATAAATAAACGCTGACATTTACTGTCTAAGCAGATCTCACTTGTAAATGAGTCTTCGAGGCTCAATGTGATTTGTCTAAATAAAGGTTGAATGAAAACTGATATAATGGGGGGGCTGATGGAAAGTGAGTAATTTTTCTACTTCCTAGCTCGTTCAGAAAATATGAATCACTGCCTTTTCGGATTTCTGCCAGTCACTTCTGGTGTTAAAATCAAAGTCACATACGTTTTTAAATACTTGAAGTAATGACTGAAATTACTGTGATTTCATGGTGATATCATTAAAAAGCAACACTGTCAAAACAGATGGATTAAAATTCCTTTAAAGGTTCCGACATTTGCTTTTCTACATCTTTTATGCCTTGTTGTATAGTTTTAATTTATTTAGTAGTTGGAGGGGTGAGAATTGGCAGAGACCTCACAGTTAGGCTCAGCGGTCAAGGCAAATATTTGGGTCCGAGCTTCAATTTACAGATTGCCTAGAACGCAGCTCTGTTCACAACTTTCCAGAAGGTTGGGTGGAAGGAAATGTCACACTAACTTTAAATTCCTGTGAAATGTGTGGATGTAAAAGTGTGAAAATGGTCCAAAATAAGATGGTGTCCAGAAAGCAGCAGGTATTTGTCAGGATTAAATGTGGATTACAGAATATCACGGATACATTTAATGGTGGCTGTGTTCAACTTGCAGTATTCTGCAAATGTTTTGAGCCACTTCTCTTTTTTTATATTTTGCTTGTTTTAAATTCTTTTCTACATACAACTAAAAACATGAGGAGAAAGTACAACTTCACCAATGCTTCATGATAATAGAAAAACTTATGTGCAATATTATTGATTATTATTGTGACAGTCGCAATAAACACATGTTTTCCTCTCTCCTCACTTTATTTTCTGTCATTCCAATCATCTAAACCAGGTGTGGGCATCAAAGCTAGTGTCGGTCCATAAGCTTGACCAAATGTATTGATAAACTGAACATGAGTGCGTTGTACTTGAAATATAACGGCCTACAGTTTATTCCAGTCCTTTGAGATATTGATATTCTGCTAATTGATATTGTGATGGCAAGTCTTCACAACAAGCTTCTGCTACTGGATTGTCTAAAACACAATTTAAAGTTGATTCTTTGCCAAGTTTTTCCATTTTGACATAAACACTATGTAGTTCTTTCCTTAACTTAAATTGGGTGCCTCTTTTTTTTTAAGTTTGAATGAAATTAAGGTCAGTATTGAGTGACTTACAAACCAACAGTTCCTTTGAAAATGGCCACCTGCACTACCAAAGGCTGAAAAATGTGAAAAATGTAAAAAAATAAATAAATAAAATTGTCAGTGCAAAAAAAGGCTTTTGAAATGTTTGGTCAGTGGCTTGATAACATTATATTATATTAACAGTAGCATCTATAACAACTCATTAATGGAACCAGGATGATGAGTTACAACATTTAATTTCCCTCTGGGATTAATAAAGTATTTTTGAATTGAATTGATTGTGTGTAATATTAACTGACAGCAGCTGTTGCTATCAAAGGAATCATCAACTCTCTTTTTGCTGATGTCTCAGGCATTATCAGCTGCTATTGTGATCCTCCAGTAGCTTCATAATGGCCGAGTGATACAGCCAAACATCATCACTGTGCCATTTATTACATCTCTGTGTTTATATTGTCAGTCAGGCAAGAAACGTATTCATCCTCTAGGATTGCTTCGGTAAATCTGAATGTGGATGTAGCTGTTGTTCACTAGAAAACTTGAAGTTTAAGGTAGTTTTTCTAGTCTGTTGAATCCAAATGGAGGTTTTTTTTTGTTTGTTTTAAACCAAAGATTATTCACAAAACTTGTGGCAAATCTTAGGCCACTTGCTGTTAAAATCCCAGTAGAAAATAAAATTCAAGAAATCCTGCAGTCCTTTTAACACCTCAAGAGGTAGGCACCGTTTCCTGCGTAGGACAAAGACTTAAATAAAAATTAAAACTGGATGTTGTTCCTTACTGAGCGTCATTGTCAGATAGCTTAGATGTTAAAATTATAAGAGAAAGAGGTTCATTTTGACATGTAGGAACCTTGGTGGCTTTTAGTTTGACACTGAGTTTCCTTGACTAAAACAAAAATACTTTTTCTCCTTTTGTTCTTGTCTTTTTGTAACACTGAGCTGGGCTCACTTTGCTCCAGATAAAGCACGATTGTAGCCCAGTTGACTGATTAAGGTCGGCTGTTTCATCAGAATTGTAACATATTAGGCTGTAAAATGTCCCTGGCTTTTGATTAATGAGAGGAAATGTGTTTAATTAATTACATCTTGTTGCAGCAGAGCTGACGCAGTGCAGCTGGCAGGCAGAATTGTGACAAATTTTCTCACTTTAACTGCAGTTGAAGTATTTATATAAAACAGTAAAAGAGATTATCTGATGGAAAAAGCATATCAAACTTTCACAATGTGAGGACAACAAAAAGTGTGGTTGTGGAAGCAGATATTCATCTAATCTGAGAAGCTTATTTGTAGCCTGACATTTCATGTTTCAAAGATAATTATGTAGATGCAAACGAGTAAACGAGTAGCATATGGGTGCCTGTAATTAGATTTTTGGTAATGAATGGTTCAAATACCTGTTAGGCATATTTAGTCACAGAAGTTTCTACTGAACAAAGTCTAAAGCTTTGCAGTATGTATGATTTTCCAGTCGGGACACAGATAAAGGTTGTTTTACCCTTTTTTGCACAAAATTATATTCCGTGCAGTTTTATTTTATGATTGTTGCCTGTCTTGGAAGTTGGAACCAATTCTCTATTCCAGCTTTTTGGTCAAAAGAACTGGTGTTAAATTGGCACCCACTCTGCTGGATCAGAGAAATGGACCTCCTCAGCTGGGTGCTGGGAATGTAGAGCAGCTGGATCAACAAAAATGGGACTGTTGTGTTTAAACAAACAGCTCAGCTTTAGGTTTGAACTGGTAAAAGCCTAACTTCAACATAGACTTCAAGGCAAAGCAACGTTGTAGTAACATGGGAGTCACTGGTCGTCTCAATTTCCTGCCGTTTTAAACATTTTATTATTGCAAGTTGGAAACTGAACAAATATTTAATTAAAATCTGTCCAGTGGTCCACAAGATATTTTGCCAATAGACACCATGTTGGGCAGCACGGTGGCGCAACTGGTAGAGCTGCTGCCTCTCAGCGAGAAGGTCCTTGGTTCAAACCCCGGTCCAGGGGCCTTTCTGGGTGGAGTTTGCATGTTCTCTCCGTGCATGCGTGGGTTTTCTCCGGGTACTCCGGTTTCCTCCCACAGACCAAAAACATGCATGTTAGGCTGATTGGTAACTCTAAATTGTCCCTAGGTGTGAGTGAGAGAGTGAATGGTTGTTTGTGTCGTTTGTCTCTATGTGGCCCTGTGATGGACTTGCGACCCGTCCAGGGTGTACCCCGCCCCTCGCACAGTGATTGCTGGACATGGGCACCAGCGACCCCCGTGACCCAAAAATGGAATAAACGGGTAAAGATAATGGATGGATGGATGGATGGATGGACACCATGTTGACCGTAAATGGTTAATGGCAAAATGTTGAATCTTTTTCCAATCTGTTAGCACTCAAAATATGTTTTAGAGATCAGTCTTGCCTACTACCACAACAAATTTTACATTCATATCTAAAAAAACTTTTAAGATGAGTTGAATTGGGTTGACTCCAAAAGTGCATCTGTTGTAGATGTACATATAATAATTGAGTTTTATTAAAATTCATCTAGCAGCATATGAAATATTGTGTTAACGGAGAGATGCACAAACATACAGACATGAACTAAAACATTATTGTACATGTTTGCCTTTCGGCAGCGGGTGAATTTGTTTGCACATCTTGATGGCAGCAGAGTCGAAGCAGGTTAGCGTTATCTGGCGCTGAGGAGTGACTCACATACGTGTTGCTCTTGACAACGGCTTTATAAATGCACACTGGTGATGTACACTGGTTTGAGGCACGGGAGCCATAACCACAGAGGGAAAGCGTCTGGGATTAGCATTGTTATTGGTTAAATAGCCAAGAGTAAGAGCTGATATAGGTAAATATTACTAATGATAATAGAATGTATAAGCCATGTAATGTAAACATGCCACAAAGCTGTGTGTGCTACAGTTGTGCCAACCATAGAGAAAAAGAAAAGTATGTCTCATTTCACAAGTAAGCAGATTTGATTTTATTTATCTCAATGTAAATGTGATCTGACCCTAACTGAAGCTAATGATGTAATGGTTTAAAATTCAAATGAGCCTATAAAGCTGATGTAATCTCAGTTAATTAATGGCTAGTAGATATTAGCTTCTGTGTCATACAGTGTAGCACTATGGTCAAGGTTCTTTATTGTCATTCGCATCGTATGTGGTACATGTGGTGGAACGCAATTGTGTACACAGGGTCCCGGTTACATCCAACAAAAGTATAATTTGTAAAAGAAAAACGGTAATAAGATCCAAGATATGAACTGAGAAATATGCTAAACACTTAATAGTGCAAAAATGGTAATACACTGAACAACAACAGCACGAACATGAGTCTGTGTGAGCAGATGAGTACGAATGAACACGGCAGCGTGAAATAAGTTGGCAGCATGAGATCAGCAGCATGAGATCAGCAGCGCATATCAACAATCTGGCATTACTGTGATTTTTTTTTTTTTTTTTTTTTTTTTTTTTCCTGAATCATGCTACAATTTAGCACAAATTAAATTGTACAATCTGGTATTGCCTCTAATTTATGTAATATTTACATAAAGTATAATATTATGTCATTGACTATTTTTAGGTTTCCATTCCACAAACCTGACATACTGAGACGATGGTTAGCCAATATCAGTAGAGACAAGATTCATCCTTCAAAGTATCACCGGATACGAAGTGAACATTTTCTAAGTGTCGACTACAGACCAGGTAAAAAATAAATATGTTATTCCAATACTGGTATGCAATACCCTTTTATATGTAATTTCTGTGTTGTGTGTGTTAATGACTGACTTCAGATCTACCAGTAGTTATCCTTGTATATCATCTAGCTGTTTTACATGTTTGTTAAATTAAATTAACTTTAATAATCAATTCTATTAATTTATTATAAAAAGTTTACAGATACTTTGTGACACAGATCCAGTTGGGCTTGCTGTTAATCAAATAGTTGCTGTGTCGGCTGGGAGCTGTTGCCCTCTTTGCTCCTCCACGATGTCACAGATGCAAGCAGTGGGCAGGGTAGGGAGTGCGCTCTAGTTATTTACCTCTATGGTTTGAGGACAAAATGAAACGAAATATGTCTCCCTGCTCTGTGGTACATTACATATGTTTAAGTACACCCAAAAAGGAGGTTCAAAGGGTGCATGGGACAGACATTTACAGTATTACAGTGGTGTCTCTCTCATAATGGAAATGCATAACCAGCTCTTTGAAGGTCGATAGTCTGCTAAATCTATATAATAAGTTGTCTTTATTGTATGCAATTAATTCCAAGTACTTTATTACAAGTTTTAATTATGCATGATGTTCAGCCAGGCCACTTTTTAAACATTACCCAGCTGGAACTGTTGACATCGCACTACATGTCCTCAGCGCGTTGAAATTTCCTCCCTCACTTCTCAAGGTTAATGTTGTGGAATTTTGTCGGAAACTGATATCGTATCTTCAGTTCAGATATCCGCAGCAGCTCTGACATCCCTGATGTAATTTTGCCTATCTCATCAGCAACCGCTGGTAGTCAGAGCTTTCTCCTTGGTGGATCCACAAAAGAGCAAGGTGTGCACTCGCGCAAGTCTGTCGTCATTTATCAAATTATTGAAAGCAGCTATGGTTTTTCTTTCATTTTTTTTGGACGTATTGTTGTCCTTTTGATTCTGTCCTCTCCCTCACCACTAAGAATTTCTGCCCCATCAATAATCGTTAAGCTAATTTCTGAGTGTGTAGTGCCTGTCACAAGCTGTCCAAGATTTAGAGCTACAGCAGCGCTAGTTAGAGATGGGTAAATATTGTATCTGCACTAATATTTTAGAACGATATTGTATGCTTCATACATTCAGTGTAAGAACAGAGATGCTGCATTTAATATCCTTAACATTGCAGCTCATAAGTAAATACAATTATAAAATCTAAATCCATGACATGGGAACTCATGTACAAAGACTTGCGTGGATTTCCTACTGAAACATGGTGTACGCTTAAATCAAGAAAACAGCGTATGCACAAATAAGTCCAGATGTATGAAACCGTGCGTAGGCATGAATACAAGCACACTTCCTTTGTACATCCCAATCAACGTGGAATTGAGCGCATATGAGGGAATACCCGACTCCTCAGCTGTTCATCAAGGTGGATGGATGGATTACATGGACTGCACTGGTTTGTAAATGGATGCCTCAGTGCGCCGGAGAAAGGCTGAGGCGTTTCACACTTTACGCATGTGTTTATTGACATAACTCCTATACATGCATAGACAATCAGGGGCTTGGTAGAACGTCAGAATCTGTAGTTTAACCAGCAAAAAAACAGGAAATCACTCACTTGAACCACTGACTAGTAATGGTCCAATGAAGATAATATATGTGGGGGCACATAGGCTCCATGCACATCAGGGAGATTAATATTAGGACAATTAAATTAATTTACTCACCAAGAAGCCACTCATCCTTCATTGTGCCAGCTTGTAGTCTCTCCCCAACCATGCTGTTCATTAGGATGAATGAATCGTGTATTGAACCAGGCCACCTCGCCACAATGTTGGTTACCGGTAGATGCTTTTGCTCATCACATAATTTGCATATTGAATGAAAATGCTTCCTGTTAACATAAACGTATTCATCCTGTGATGATGCTTTTATAACGACGTTTGTGCAGTTGATGCACTTGCATTAGGAAAAGCGGCTGTCGCTACAAATTGTGCTTTAACATTGGCCTGTTCAACTGCATCGTCTCGTTCTTGTTTTATCGGTTCTCAAAATGGCGGACGCTCGGTGTGGTTTGAGCTCTTTTTAGCATTGCATTTCTCACACAAAGCTTTTAATTAAAAAAAATCAGTAAAGTTTTCAGCTTCTTTTGCAGAGAAAAAACAACTTTTTACACAAAGGCACGGGTTTCAACCGTGAATTTTGGAGCTTTGACAAGACGGAGGTTTTTTCCTGAGGTCGGCCTGTTAGCTTAGCTTGTAGCTTAGCTGCTTTTTAACGATCCAAACACACAATTTTGGATGGTTAAACAGATTTTTTTACATTTTTTTTTATGAGAGTCTGTGAAAAGCACCAGGGTTGAGCCTTTTGTCATCCAGTGTCTGCAGTAGAAAGAGACACGAAGAAACGATGCAGCCGATAAATGAAAATGAGGTGGATAATTTTCATTCAGCATGCGATTAATTGATTTATTGTTTATCACGACGGGCCTTCTCATTACACATTGGGCACATCTTTGCTTAAAACTTTGTCGCTAACTTTTAGTCAGCACTGCTGCTCTGTTAGCAGAATATTTCATAAACCACTGGATGATTTTAATGAAACTATCGTAAAGTAATTGTATATCTACAACTGACTAACATTTGGAGTCAACCTCAATAAAGATGGCTGCCACAACTAGTAAACCTTAGCTAACGCAAACGGCTATAGCGTAGTCTGTTTTACAGATATTGAGCTTAAATTTTATGTGGTTGTAGTTGAGACCCTAGTTGTGACATGTTACAATATTATGAGATTGCGCATAGTTATTTTAAAGTTTGACCAAAACTGCAACATAAGCTGGTCTTGGTCTCAAACTCTGGTGAAAGGCAGTGAGCTACATGCATTCCTTAAACTTTTAATTTGAATTCTGGCTTCCAAGTAAAACTTAATTTATTTGTTCCGCCAACATTTATGTGACTTTTATTTGTTTTGTTTTGTTTGGTCATTCCTAAAAACCAAACTATGGTAATTAAGAAACCAAAGCTAAAAGTTGCTAATAAAACAAAACAATGGCTGTGCATCTCTGCGCCTCTTGTATCTGAGGCTCATTAGTGGATTGTGTTGTCAGCTAAAAAGAGGGGGGACCCTGTTTCTCTCTGTCTGTTCTGACTCTAATTGGCTGTCACGTTCTCAGTTTTCACCAACACGGAGACTCTCCTCGCCGCTCCCCTGTGCGGCGGCTCGTGCCGCAGCAGTAAACGGCAGGAGCTTCATGGTCAGATTAGCACGTACTGTGATGTCGGGGCGATTTAATTTTGTTTATCACTCTCCGTTTTAGGGAACACTAAGGATGTGGACCTTATCACTGCAGTGCTTTTTGATCTCGTTCATGATCTTCAAGCACATTTTGTATTTGCTTTAATGTCAGTTGACGGTAATGAAAGAATTCGACAAGAACTTGGACACCTTGAGTTACACTCCCCAGAGTAAACTTTGTCACAGTGCAGCAGCTTTGGAGGTTGGAAGGCACCCAGGCCCATCTGTCATTATGAACTCGTTCTTTCTGTTTCTCTTTTTTTGCTCATCTGTCTCTGCCTCTTTCTTTCTGTTCGTCAACATCTCTGTCTGTGCCTGTGTGAAAAGGTGTTTTGCAGCGGAATAAATATTAATCTGTGCTGTTTTGTTTGCGAACATATTCAGTCTGCCTCTGCTTGTTTCTGTCTCTTTTGCATTTTTTTTTTAAATGCACTTGCTGAGCTCTTAAGGTCAGCACCTCTTTGTGTTTGCTCTGAGGAAGAAGAGGTCGACTTTGAATAAGCCAGTCTTAATTGCTCCCATTCTGGGTCATCACATCAATGCTGTGGAGTCACAATGACCTGATTGGCTTAAGTTAGGTGTTATTAGATAATGAAGGAAAAGCAGGAAGCAGCGCTTGTTAGGCTCGTCTTAGACCTGGAGAGACGGGGTCGTCTTATTGGGAGGGGATGCACGTGATGCCTCCCACAGAGGTAGCATCAATTTCTGTCAACGCTTGAATTAATGTTTTTAATGATTATCGTAATAAAGCGTATTAAAAATGTGGCTTTTGTTTCTATTATAGCTATTTTCTGTTAGTAGCTTACTAATGGCTTATTTAAAATGGAATTAGAACAGCACGAAGACGAGTATTTGTTTTTATTTTTATTTTCAGTGAGTTTTTTTTTTTTTTTTTTTTTTTAACCACACAGATTTAATATCCTGATGCATGCTCAATAATCCAGGTAGAAAAATCTAAAAAAGTTAAATCTGGTCCTCTGGAAATAAAAAAAATTAAAAAAAACACACAGATTTAAGTTTCTCAAATAAGGGTGTCTAGATTTATGAAGCAAACTCTCTGAACTCTAAGCAGAATATTAAAATTATGTCCAATTCACAGTGAAAACTTTTTGTTGTTCCTACAAAAAAAAAAAAAAAATTAATTTACAGTTTTAAAAGATACTCAGAATTTTTTATTTATTTATTTATTTTTTAATTTATATCGTCTTGTAAATTAAAACTTGGGTCAGATTCCTGAAGGCGATGTCATAAAGACAAGTCAAAAAAGTACACAATGTGTACTTGCATTAAGAATTTGTAAGCTAAGTTTCATGTACTATTTGCATTCGTTTACCTTTGAAAACGGCCAAAGAGACTGAAAATGGATCAACAGTGTTGACATCCATGTAAGAGTTGTATAGGATGTAAAAGCAAAATAATTTTCATAGAAGCTACGAGTGTTGGATCTCTCTTTATGGCGCTCCACCACCCTGCTTGAGTCCAGATATTTACTCTTGACAGTTGTCTTACTCTATATTTTTGTGTTTAGCTGCAGGTTCACTCTTATCTTTCAATCAAAATGCCTTCCCTGAGATTTTACACTTGGTCTATTCTGCCATATATGTTTACCTACATAGACTACGACCAGCCTAATGCAAGTGTGACTCAAGCTTTCTTGTGGTTTTGGGTGAACTCACACTCAGAGTACTTTGTTTATATGAGTGCATACCT